CAATGTTACATCGAACAACTACGTTGGCTCAACAAACGGCATTATTCAAGTTAGAACCGACCACGAAGCCAGTGTGGCAACTGTCACCTGGGACCTACCCATTGTAACTAACAACATTAGCCGTTTCAACGTGACGTCATCGCTGTATAAATCAGGAGACGAAATACCAATTATGACAAATCACGTAATCACATTTACAGCCACAGAGTCTTCAGGAAACACAGATACTTGTTTTTTTTGTGATATCTGTTATCGGTAATTTTCTTATTATTCTTCATAATAAATTTGTACACTTTTTTATTCTGCAAAATATAGGCACATATGCACCGTTGTTATTAAAACAGGTGAAACCGGTCTCCGGGGAGGAACACATTATGATAGGCTCAGGGGCAAGAATTTACACGGGCCCAAATCCCAAGATTTCTTTAAAGCCAGGCTCCGGAGGACTTTTTTTTTTGTTTCACAACTGACTGTTCAAAGACATAAAAAGCATTGATGAAAAATCGCGAGAAGTTATTAATGATAAATTTTTGAATATTGATAAACTTGGGGAAAAGGGGTGTAACCACCCTTTTCCCTCCCTTTTTCCCCAGTTTTTATATATTCAAAAATCTGTATCTCATTAACCGCTCACGAGTTTTCGTAAAATATGCTTTCTCTGTTTTATAAAAATCAGTTGTACAATATATTAAAACAGTGTTTCCTCCGTAGCATGGCTTTAGGTATGATGATTCAGGCACAATGAGGTGCCATGTTAGGGTTCAGGAAAAAAGCTTCAAGTTTATCAGAAAAGATAATAATGATAATAGTAAATTAATAAGTCCATAATAGAATAATAATAATAGCCTAGAAGAACTACAAAGCGATTGAAAATATATAGATATGGATGCTTATCATCTTACAGCTTTTGCAATTCGTTTTTTGTATTTGTGTATTTTTATTGTAGTATGTTCACCAATGGTCCTTTGATCTCATCATTATTTCTGTAGATATTGAGGATCCAATTTGTACCATCGACCCGCCATCGTATATAGGCTCTGCAGAGATGGAGGAACAGAATTCTACAATCAACTACGTCATCACTGTTAGAGACAATGTCCTAGTCAGCAGTATTAAGACATACTACCGTTATACTGATATTGGAAATAGTGGTCAAGAATATATTGTTGACAGAGCCATAGAAGAAATCGACAGCACAGGAACTTTCCCTATTGGCGAGACTATGGTTCTGTTTTCGGTTGTAGACAATGCGAGTCCGAATGGAAACGAAGGAACCTGTTCATTTGGTGTCACAATAAGCGGTTAGTGTAAACTAAAACATGGGGTTATCAAATTAGATTTTTATTCCGCCATGGTATAAAACGATATAATAAGGCTTCACAGAATTATAAAGACTTAAACCAAAACTATACTTTGTTTGGATCTTGAACAGGCCTACCTAAAGAATTAAAAGAAAGTTCGTTGGTTGAACCATTAATCATCAATGGTTATACAAAGCGTGTTTCAATATCATAAAAACCATTATACCTCCATGGTTTGCCATCATTACAGTATACAAATCGAATAAAGACATATTGCAATTTTCATATTTATAATACAGTACTTTTTAATCAAACATTTTGGCTTTGATACTTCAGCAAGAGGTATATGAATACTAAACAAACTATTTTTCTTTACAGAATACATGCCGACAACTGAGAGAGCAGTTACAGAAGACAGTTCAGGACACCAAGTTTCAGGCTCAGTAACTGTCAAAGTGCTGATGTTATTGATGAATTCGTTTGTGAAGCTCTATTACTTAAATTAACACACATCGTACTAATAACAATATGGTACTCAACTCCCAAGCCTCATAATGTGACTTCGTTTATAATAGAACAAGCTGTGTAATGTCTTGTGAAGGGATATGCCACTTAAAAAAGTGATGAAGTTCACTGTTTGGCATTTGGCCTAAAAAATTAATAAAATAAATATAAATAAAAATATCGTTTGCGTCACAAAATGTCGTAGGAGTGATGTTTTTTGTTTATAAGATTTCTTGACGATTCCTTTGCTACCTTGGGGATTACTACACTAGCGACAAAGTGCAAGGTCAGTGGTCTAGTGGTTATGACACCATGCTAGTTATCTAGAAGGCTTGGATTCGATTTCTACCCGAATCATTGGCAATTTTTTTTTTGACTTGGAAACGTACTGAGTATTTAATACTATAACACGTCGTCAGTACGGTATTAATTCTTAATTTGTGTGTTTTTAGAATTAGGAACTGAATGTCCAAACTATTCTAATGCGAGATGATAAATATATTCATATTTAGGCTTATTTCATTTTAGTTAAATGTATTAATTGTAATTAAAAGATTCTACATATAAATTTTGGCTACACTAAATTGTCTCGTATTTCTGGCTTCGTTTTTACATCATTATTGTTATCATTATCATTATGCTATTACAAGAATGCAATTGAAATAATATTTTTATAACAATACGATATAATAATATAAACTGTTAAATAGTATGGTATTTATAATTATTTTATGCTCTTAACTAACGTTTACTACAAATTTCTTGTGCAATTCAATGACGTTTAGAAGGCTGTTCTCATTTTACTGTGCCATACTAATAATAAGTCTATATATTTACTTAGATGTTTCTATTGAACAATATTTTAAAGTAATGTTTTTATAACGTTTGCGTAGCTAGGGATGCCCCTATATAGGGAAAACCCCTATTAGCGGTGACACTTTTTTTAGGTCCTGAAGGTGTCCCCTTGATAGGGGTTCTATTGTAATATCGTGTAATGTATATATGGCTCTGATACCGTATGAACAGAAAATAAACTAATTATGTAAGCATACTGATCGACTTACAAAATTTATTTGTCGGAACTGTAATTCATGAAGGTACAGGCCTTAGAACGGAGGGCCTAAAATAGAAACGTTAATACTTTACAGGTGAAACAATAGAATTTGCTAATAATAGATTAAAGCAACTGCAAATAAGGGGAAAATACTTGAATATGATTACATGCAAGGCCTAAGGTGCAATTCAAAACATGAATATTAAAACAAAAACTTCGTTTTCAGTACCGTAACAAATCTCAAAATACTCAATAAGAAATGTTCCAGCTCGAACAGGGTGCCGGCAGAAGACAAAGAAAGTCCTTCTCCTCATGAACCGAATGATTCTTTTCGGATTTTACGTTGTTTTCCCAAAGCGAAGGATGCTGTCGCAAGATGTTTGGTTTATTTAGCTTGAAAAGGTTGATAATCTAAAATGGACGTTTCTGGACATTACCATTTCCCTTCAGAATGAACGTTCCTTAAGTACAACAGTATATCGAAAACCAACCCACACGAATCAATATTTGGATTTTCACTCACATCATCCGTTAGATCACAAGTTATGCGTCATCAATACTTTGGTAGACAGATGCGACAATATAGTTACAACAGAAGAAGACAAACATCACGAAATGGAAAACATCAAAAAACACTACACAATTGTAACTATCCCAAATGGGCATTTAAGAAAGTATATAATAGAAGAAAGAATAAAGCATCAAACATCAGCGAACGCCAAACTAAAGATCAAATGGAAAAGGCCAGAGGTTCGATAGGTATTCCGTATGTTAATAGGATGTCCGAACGGATAAAGAGAACACTAGCACCACACAAAATTAACACGTACTTCATTCCACAAAACAAGATCAGACAAGAACTGGTCCACCCTAAAGACAAAATACAAAAAGAGGAAACCTGTGGCTGCATTTACCAAGTATCATGCTTAAATTGCAGAAAGGTATATATTGGTGAAACAGGAAGATCACTCAAAACCAGGATTCAGAAACATCAAACAGATGTTCAAAAGAACACAGTAGGAATCCGAACGAGATCAGCAAGGTTGTCCGATTCCAAAATATTAAATAAATCTGCAATCACCGATCATGCCACACAACTAAATCATATTCCAAATTGGGACATAAAAATATTACAAAAAGAAAGCTCATGGATTGAACGAAAAGTTCTTTATGAGAATCTTTATAAAGAGAATCTTTATGGATCAGAAAAACAACAGATACTATGAACAGAGATGAAGGAGGACACATTCTATCACACATCTATGACGATATCATATTGGACCACAACACTAAGGGGAGGGGGGCCTCGTCGAGGACGCAGTGATGCACTTCGACCTCAACAACACCGAGGTGACGTCAGACCAGACTCGCGATAACATCACCAGTCTACTTGAGAAAGCGAACGGATCGTTCGCGAAACGTAGTGTGAGTACTATTGTTTTTTGCTGGATCAACACAAATGAAAAATTTCATACATATATTTGATCAAGTTGTTTATTAGGATGAACCCAACACAATTAAACGTCAATATTTACTAGGGAAAATTGTCTGCTTCTACTGCTTACAGATGCATTGAACTTACGAGGTTATCACTATACAAACGTCAATAGTTTACAGAGCCTGTTCAAACAATATTTGCAAAAACCATAGTCAGATGAACTTCGGTCGTCAAATGAACAACTAGAATGTCTCATAAAGGCTGGATAGTTTATCACATTAAATATCCGGACTATAGAAGTTGCAATTTCGTTTGCTTTACATTCCTTTAGTACATTTGAAAAGACATAGTTGACACCAATATCATTAAGACAATTGTAGGCTTACAGGTGCGTGATCACTATAATGTGGAAGATACTGGTTGTGTCAGTCCTAGTTGTGTTGTCATTGAGACAAGGTAGGTTCAAGATGGAAGTACAAAACATAACGATTTGCGACAATAAATGCGAGTGTTTGTATGAGTGTCTTGACTTTGTTAGTGAAGTTTGGTTTCTGTCCGGTACGTTACAATTTACACAAGTACTTACAAATAAATTATAAACGAATTTTACAGTATTTCAAGAATTTAATGATCATGAATTAAATTGTGAAATATTATAATGCCTTAACGAATATTACTGTTGAAACGTCATTCCCAAAGCAGTGGCGGCCCCAACATACTGTAGGAAACGTTTTGTCTTTTGCACCTCTAGATGGTGGAAAATGGCATTCTAAGATTTAATTTAGATTGTAATTTTATTTTTAATCTCCATATTTATTTTACAAACAAACATTTAACAATGGGTAATCTGGCAAAATACGAAGTTGAATATCTAAAACATTGATTATGATACTTTTTAGATACAGAAGCAATAATGATAACTTGCCCAACCAATGTTACATCGAACAACTACGTTGGTTTTACAAGTGGAATTATTCAAGTTAGAACCGACCACGAAGCAAATGTGGCCACTGTTACCTGGGACCCTCCCATTGTAACTGAAAACGTTAGCCGTTTCAACGTGACGTCATCGCCGTATAAATCAGGAGACGAAATACCAATTTCGACAATTCATGTAATCACATTTACAGCCACAGAGTCATCAGGAGACACAGATACTTGTAATTTTGTGATATCTGTTATCGGTAATTTTATTACATTTATTCTTTACGATAAATCTGTACGCACTTTTGATTTTACAAAACACAGGCATGTGCACGGTTGTTTTTGAAGCCCTGTTTACAAGAGTTTCCCATTGGTGAAATCGGTCCCCCGGGGAACACATTATGGATAGGGCTCAGGGAGAAGAATTTATACGGGCCCAAATCCCCGTGACGCCATAACCAAGATTCCCTTAGGTATGATGATCCAGTTACAAGTCTATAATAAAATAATAAAAGAAGAACTTACAAAGCGATTGAAAAGATATGGATGAGGTTTTTTTTATCATCTTCATAGCTGCTGCAATTCGTTTTTTTGTTTTTTTGTTTTTTTGATTGGTCTATTTGTATCGTGATATGTTTACCAATGGTCTTTCGATCAATTATTTCTGTAGATATTGAGGATCCAATTTGTACCATCGACCCGCCAACGTATATAGGCTCTGCAGAGATGGACGAACAGAATTCTACAATCAACTACGTCATCACTGTTAGAGACAATGTATAAGGGCTGTAATAAACCAAACCATGGATTTTGAAAAGAAATTTCGTTGGATATACTATTATTCCTTCATTGTGCAAAGTGTGTTTCAATTATAGGTTATTGTGCTGTCCATCTTTATCGCATAATGATTATTCTTGAACATGTAGGTAAATGGCTATACTGATAACCATATATGGCTATACTGATAACCATATTTGAAAGGAACGATTAGTCTCCACAATGGCGCCAGCTCATTTGATGTGGAGCTGTCATTATGCAAAGCATTTTATTTCTTCATTTCATTTCAACAATGTTTTGTGAGGATGGTTCATCCAGTAACAGCTGATCAATTTGGACCCTCATACAATAAAATAAAAAAAAAATTAGGGTGAACCTATATATTTAACATATTAATTAAATTGATACAAATAAATGTAAAAATCGGAAAGGTGTAAAAAATAAAATGAGAATTGTGAAAAACATTATTAATAGGATTCAAACAAAATCAATGCACTAGATTGATTTTCCAGTAGGGAATGCAGTAAGACATAATTCCATTCTCAGTATATGGCCGTAAAGTTCCCGGAACGCCGACTCCAGCGACGGGTGTGCGAAGCACAATTCAAAAGTCAAAAGTGGGACCTCATATACCTTATATTTGGTTTTGTATGTGAATTTGCGAGACAAAATTTAATTACCCGTATTTCTCGACTGAGACGTCAATGTGAGCTGTAACTTGTAGGGTGTAGCGATGGTGGTACCCTAAGTTGTATTATCAAATTTACGCCCACAAACCTATTTATTAATATTTTTCTTATCAAATAAATTTTTCATTTTTTGGTGATTGTCACACTCAGAATTTGGTTATTATGCACACGTCATTTCTAGGATTACGTCACATTTTTCTTCGTATAAAAAGCGTATAACCTTCCCGCCTTGCTTTCTTTGCTCATTGATGCACATAGGCTAAACACACAACAGCTGTATTGTTAGTATGCCTAATAGTTAAAACAATGTACTTGTAAATGGCCGTATTTTCTTTGCAAGTGAATTGTTTTTATTTTATTTGATTTGTTTCGAAACTGTTTTTCCAGGTGCTCGGTCGTCATACATTCCTGTATGTTCTACCACATAATTGTACTGTACCGTACCTCTACATAGGCTTACCCCCGCTTCAGTACAGTATGCTAGGCAACAGGGCCTGATCAGCAAACATGCACCTTCCCCCAAGTGTTCATATCAATATTTATTGCATATTATTAGCTAACCAACTGCGCGTATTCCTTGGTGAAAACAGGAAACAAAATATATCGTGGGGCTGTCCCTGGGTCTCTCTACTCAAAGAGTACCGTGTTGCGCCTCAATTAATATTAATGTTATTATTGCTGTTCTTTATATTTATTTATTGTTATTTCTTTATAAGTATCATATATTTGTACAATTTTGACATGAACTTGAGTAAGAACAATCAAGATTTAATAAGTTTTTTGTCAATAAAGTTTATATATACTATATTGTGCGTTGAGGATAAATTATGAACTTTCCACGAATTTGGAAACATATTCCTCGCGTGATGTTCATGACAAAGCCTTGTACAATTATGGACGGTTTAGAAGAGCTCTCAAACTTGTTATCAATAGCATTGAATGTTAGGATATTTCTTTGGTTTTTTGTTTATGTACTTATTAGTTGGGAAAGCCACTCGACAAAGTGCAATTCTTTGAATTGTTTACTTTTGGTCACCCCAAGGAACTATTGTCCTTTTGTATATTTTCTTTTTTTTTCCCCCTGGAAATAAAATAAAATAAAAACCTAAATATCGACCGACAGAGAGAGGTATATAAACGCGTAAGTGAACACATATAAAATAAAACCACCAAGGAATATTGTTGAATCGCTTGTGTAAAATGCACACCTTGGATTTTCTTTCTTTATTCTCTTTGTGTTCTTAAGAACAATACTTTTGCCATTTCATCCCGGACATGTATATTTCATTTACTTCTGATATTTGTTGTGGTTTCCTAGAAACGCCACTTCTGTAGGCACATACCAGTGTTTCAGGGTACATCTGTCTTCGTCAAACAACTTTACTGCTGCCGTCTTGGTCATATGTTTTTCATACGGTAATGTTCCTTCTTTTTTTCCCCTTTTTTTTTTTACCTCCCAAAAGGGAGCCCCCGCCCCTAAATCCGCCCCTGCCCTAGTGTATGAGATATGAGCACACTCCTGCTAGCGGTTTTGGAGGAGATAAGGGAAGTTACGCGGTGGCGATTAGCAGAATTAATATATAGATTATAATAATAATAATAATAATAATAATAATAATAATAATAATAATAATAATAATAATAATAATAATAATAATAATAGGATTCAAATAATAATAATGCAGTAGATTGATTTCTCAGTAAGGAATGTAGTAAGAGATAATTCCATTCTAGTTTTATTTGGATCTGAATCTGTACTCCATAACGCCCCTAAAAGAAACAAAGCGAGGAGGCGCTAGTAGTCTATATGCGGTTGCAGTGGCGGATTTAGAGGGGGTGGGGAGTAAGGAACGTCGAATCTATATTTTGCTTTTAAAAAATATAAAGTTTATCAGACAATTACCAAGCTAAATATTAAAAATCAATCAAAAACAACAGCTAATTAATAAAGGTGCTAAAGGTTTAAGGGAGATTAGCCCACCTTGCACCCCTATCAGGGGCTCTTTCCTAAGTCTCTCACATAGTTCGCACATTCACGCCTCCTCTTTCTTGCCTGGCTGGATCCGCCCCTGGGTTGAGTGCTACAAATAAGAATAGTAACAACAATAATACCAAAAAAATGTTCAACAAATCACCAAAAACATTAATTAACTAAGCATTAATCAATCATTACAGTATATAAGTTGAATAAAGATATATTGTAGTTTTCTTATTTATTTTTATCAAGCAGTATTGCTTTGATACTTCAACAAGTATTGTAGAAAATATATATGTATATTTTTCTTTGCAGAGTTCATGCCGACAACTGAGAGAGCAGTTAAAGAACATACTCCTAGTTCAGGACACAAATATACAACTGAGAGAGGTACGCTTACAGAAGATAGTTCAGATCCGAGCTCAGGACACCAACATACAGGCTCACTGCCTGTCATCGTGCTGATGTTATTAATGAATTCGTTTGCGAAGCTTTATTATTTAAATTAACACACATGTGCTAATAACAATAGTGTATGGTATTATTTCGACTCCACTCCCTAAGCCTTATAATGAGACTAGTTTATGTACAGTATGTTGTGTATATGTTTGTCTTGTGAAGAGATGTCGTTTAGAAAAGCTGTTTGGCATACCCTTGGCAGTTTGGCCTAAAACAATTAATAAAATAAATAAATAAATAAGAATAAAAATGTTGTTTTTGTCAGGAAATTTCATAATCCTGGCGTACATCATCGTAATAGCATTGTAGTACCTGTTGCCACCTTGGGGATCGGATTGAACACAGCGACTAAGCGCAGGCTCGGCGGTCTAGTGGCTAGTTATCTGGAAGTGCTGGGTTCGATTCCCACCCGAATCACTTGCGAGATTTTTCGCAAGTATTTGGAAACGTACTGAGTATTCAGTACGATAGCACGTCAGGTAGAGCAAACGTCACTCCTGGTATTAATAATTGATTTGTGTGCTTGTAGGATTATGAAATGAATGTCCAAGCTATTCTAATGTGAGTGATAAATATATTCATTCATATTTAGACTTTATTTCCCTTCAGTAATTCAAGGAAAATAGATAGTTATTACATCATTGTTATTATCATTATCATTATGCTATTATAACAATAATGTATATGAAATAATAATGTTTTATCATAACAACAATATATAACAATGCGTTAAATAGTAGGCCTATGTTATTTATAATTATTCTTTTCATTATAATGGATTGTAGTCAATGCCTAATAGAACAAAATATAATACTGTTTGTGCAATTCAATGATATTTAGAATTCTGTTGTCTTTGTTACTGTGCCATACTAATAATAAGTCTTAGATGTTTCTATTGTATTTCAAAGTAATGTTTTTTTTAATAACGTTTGTGTTGCTACGTAGGCCTATGTATTATGTGCTAAGGTACTGTGTTTTTTATTTGGAAATGCAAAATAAGGAAGTCTTGGGCTGTATGCCCAAGCCTTAAATGGGGACCAGGGGCCGCCCCGGGGTCGTCTAGGGCCCAGATGGGGTACTGGGGACGAATCCCCCAGAAGCTGTGGTGTCTATAGCCTTGTATAAGTCCTATCTAATTAATTTTAAGGAATTATTCCCACACTGCATTTTCTGCTAGGGCAGGTTGGCCGGCTGCCCCTTTGAATCTGAGTCTTAAATACTCATTATCAAAAGTGTTTCAATTTATCCTTTTAATCATAATCATGCCTGCTTAAATATTTCATGGAAACTAACATTCATCAAAATAATGATTTATTATCTACTGATTTCTTGTGAAGTATTCGAACCATGAAAGACAAATAAGATAAGCCATGTTCCTTCGAGGATAAACTTAACACAGTCACTCAAATTCTATAGTCTCTTTCATGTACCTAGTACTTTTAAAAACAATCAAGAGTTTTTTCTCCTCTTTTTGAATTACACTTTTGTGCACGTAGTATTGCGACTGCACTATTGTGAGCGGAAATACTACCGTCTAACTTAGACCAAATAGGACTAGGGAGATAGGAAGCACACAAAACATTAGTAAGCACTTTTTTTCACAAACATAAAGGTGATTTATATGATTTATCATAATATCATGATGTCATGGCGAGGTTGCGTCTACGTAACATCGAAATTCGTAAAACTTGTGGTCACTCGTAAAATAAATAGATAGACCTATCCATGTCAAATAAAATCTATATAAAATTCAATTGACTATCAATAATTTTATGAAATTAGAAAAAAACAAGAATCTATGTATGCAGATAATATTAAACAAACACTATACAGGTCTTAATAATATACAAAAGGAATAATCGTTTATAGCAGAAATTGTGCAC